GCTTGTCCCGGGAAGGAGTTATACTTCTAGAGGCCTCCTTGGCTTGGACAGTCAGCCTTCCTGCTCGTCTATCACATAGACAGGGAAAGCAGAGCCCAGGGCCTGGCTTCTGGGCACTGTCCCTAGGACTCTCTCAGGCTTAAGTTACACCTCTGCTACAGCTGCAGGTCCAGAGCTGCACCCTGAGTCAGCAGCAGGACCCAAGTCTCAGAATGGCACAGGAATCCTTGCAGGCTGTTGTGGCAACACCCCAGAGAATGTGACCTCGGGCTAGCAGTGATCCGTTGGCCAGTTCTACTCCAGTGGTCCCTGGACCAGTGCTGGCTCACAGACTATTGTTACCTGCCTATATGAAGACAAGTACAGAAAATACTTACTGAGAACTTGAGTATTTAGAAATTTTTATAGCAATTTGACATTGTCACATCATTCAAGCAGCGGTTCAGGGTTTTTTTAACTAATTCATTTTTATTGCATTTTACAAAAAATTAACATCAAGTTAAAAAACCCACCATGCCTTGATCCTTCTTCATGGATGCCTTAGGGAGCACTGTTCCCAACCCCCTCTTCCAGCCTGCGCTGGGCTTGGGATGCTCCCCAAGGGCTGTGGGCATGTGAAGTTCTCCTTTGGGGCAGGAGGGGGCGACAGAGACATAGGTCATCTGTCCTTCCTCAAGCAAGGCCAGCTCGCTCGTTCTCCAAGCAGCCTCCATTTGACCCTCCGGGATGCTGGGACACGGGAGAAAGGCAGGCTTCTTCCTGTTTTGCCTTGGCAGAGAGCAAGTTTACCAGGGAAAACGTCCAGGAGGGCTGTCCACGTAGAGATGGCAGGAAAGTGAGGCTCCCAGCCAAAGGGATTTTTCCCAAGGAAGTAGTTTTGTGGCTTGGGCTATACAGCACAAAGCTCTCAGTCAGGCTCTGTTTGAATCCTGGCTCCTCCTCTTAGTTGCTGCAAGTGAGACCTTGGGATCTCTTCGAAAGCCCAGTTTCCTTAAGTGTAAAGGGGCCATATTAATGCTACCTATCCCACAGGGCTCTTGGAGTTAAGTGCATATTAAGGCAGATGGAATGTAATTAGATCATTGTCCAAATACTAATAACTTTAGTTAAGTAATTCACGCATGAAGCGTATAAGGTTATCATTTAACCTATCTACCATCACACTTTCTTAAATTATCAAAAAAAAAGTATGTTACCATGTGCTGTTACGCAATCTTCCTAAAAAAGAAAAAAGAAAAAAAGAAAAATTCCTGTTTCTCCTCCCCTTGGTTCATTTATTTTAAGTTTTGCCTCATTTTAACTTGAAGCCTAACTTTATCACAAACCATTTGGTACATAAAAGTTCCCTCATATTATTTAAACCTCAAATGGAGTGCAGGGAGCAAGGCCAGTACTACACTGTTAACACATGAGATAACAAATTTATAAAGGGTAAATGCCTAGATCCAGGCCACAGTAGTCTTTCAGATTCTAAATCCTTTCAAATTCAAATTCTAAGATTTTATCATCTAGGCCTCTTAACGTTAAGAACGGGTGGTGGGTGAGAAGCTACTAATACATGGATATATTTAAATAGGAAAAGTTACCACATTCTAAAAAGTTAAAAATGTGGCAAGGCACAGAGCTCTTGATAATACTGTAATTATTTCTGGAAACGAGGACTGGACGTGACGAGATGTGTAAAGATTGGGCTCAAACACTTAAAAGCTGGGCTTCAGAGCAAACCCGCGCTGGTGAAAGCAGCGCACTCACTGACTGGCAGATTCCACAGGAAACAGTTGTCTCGCACGTGTCTTTCAGGAAACGCACGGAGCACGAGGAATAAAGGAAGCTGAGGAAGGGCTGGGGGAAGGTAAAAACAGCAGACAGGGCTTTCCCGAGGCAAGGGAGCGCGCAGGCAGGGCCGGTACGGAAGGAACTCCGGGAGCATCCGGCGGCCAGCGAGGTCTGAGAAGAGACCAAGCAGCAGCCGGGGGGGCGTCCGTCAGGGGAGCGGGCTACCCGCGGGCCCCACCCTGTGCGGCTCCCTAGTGTTTTTGCTCCACCAGTTCGAGAGGTGTGGGGGTGGGAAAGAAGAAAGCAGAGAAGGGAGGAGACGCTAGAGTAGCGACAGGTGGGCGGCGGTCGGAGTCCGAGATTCGCGGGTCTGGGGGGACGGCCGCACCTGCGAGCCCTCCAGGCCGCCGTAGCCCCGCCCCTTGTGCGCGCGGCGCCCGCGACGCTTGGCGCGCGGGCTGCTCTCCTTACAGAGGTCGCTCTGGTCCGAACGGGCGGCCGGTGTTGCGCGTGCGTAGTCGGGAGGGGAAGTGAGGCGGTTTCTTCGGCGCCTTTTCCGGCGGCGGCGGCGGCAGAGCTGGGAGGAGGAGGTGGCGGCCGGAGGGAGCCCGCGCTCTGGGCGGCGGCTAGAGGTAACCTCCCGGGTTGAGCTGGAAAGGCGGGCCACCTCGGCCCCCGTTCCCCTCTGGAACTCCGGCAGTAACTCTCGTCTCCTTCTCTGTGTCTCCGCAGGCAGCGCACCGAGTTCCCGCGAGGATCAATGACCTGACGAGCCGCCGGAGCCTCGTTGCCTCTTGGGTGGCCTGGGTCGGTAGGGAGCCCGGTGCTCGCGGACCGGCGGGAGGACCGGAGGGTCGTAGTCTCCCGCGGAGTTGGGAGGAGGAGGCGGAGGAGCGGGAACCGCAGCGGCGCTCGCGCGGCGCCTGCGGGGGGGAAGGGCAGTTNCAGTTCCGGGCCGGGCCGCGCCTCAGCAGGGCGGCGGCTCTCCGGTCGCAGACTCAGGGCCCCGGCAGCAGCGGCGACTGGAGGAATCAAGTTGTGCGGTCGGTGATGCCCGAGTGAGCGGCGGGCCCTGGCCTCTGCCCCGAGGAGGCAACTCCCACGCAGGCCGCACGGGCGCCCTCGCGGCTGGGAGGCTTCGTTTCGGTTTCGCGGCGGCGGCGGCGTTGTTGGCTGAGGGGACCCGGGACACCTGAATGCCCCCGGCCCCGGCTCCTCCGACGCGATGGGGAAGGTGCTATCCAAGATCTTCGGGAACAAGGAAATGCGGATCCTCATGTTGGGCCTGGACGCGGCCGGCAAGACAACAATCCTGTACAAGTTGAAGCTGGGCCAGTCGGTGACCACCATCCCCACCGTGGGTTTCAACGTGGAGACGGTGACTTACAAAAACGTCAAGTTCAACGTGTGGGATGTGGGCGGCCAGGACAAGATCCGGCCGCTCTGGCGGCATTACTACACCGGGACCCAGGGTCTGATCTTCGTTGTGGACTGCGCCGACCGCGACCGCATCGACGAGGCCCGCCAGGAGCTGCACCGCATTATCAATGACCGGGAGATGAGGGACGCCATAATCCTCATCTTCGCCAACAAGCAGGACCTGCCTGATGCCATGAAACCCCACGAGATCCAGGAGAAACTGGGCCTGACCCGGATTCGGGACAGGAACTGGTATGTGCAGCCCTCCTGTGCCACCACAGGGGACGGACTCTATGAGGGGCTCACATGGTTAACCTCTAACTACAAATCCTAATGAGCATTCTCCACCCATCCCCCCGGAAGGAGAGAAATCAAAAACCCATTCATAGGATTATCGCCACCATCACCTCTTTCAAATTGCCACTTTCTCTTGAATTTGAACTCTGGAGTTACTGTTCTACGGTTTGGGGGGGTTAGGGGGTTTCCTTTTTGTTTTCTTTCTTCTTTTGCTTTGCGTTAGGATGCTCCGATCTGACATTTGACATGAACACAAAGTGCTAGATGCTCTTGTTAACTTCCAGGAAATGGGATGGGGAAAATATAGCAGTTCTTGGTAAAGTCCTTTATAATAATGGTATGATTTTTTTATTTTGAAAGAATTTTTTTCCCATTGTATGCTTTTTTTTCTTTTTGCCCAGTTTCCTTATCACTTGCTGTAGATGGCTTATTTTGCATTCATGCAGACTATGTTGCAAGTCTGTTTCATCTAGTAAACTGAAAATTATTGCTTAATCAAACTGCCGTTTGTCTTTTATATTTAAGGCCTTTCCCCCCTCCCTTTTGAGTTCTAACTTAGTAATTTCAAATATGACCTTTTATATCTAAGACCAGTATAGATAACTTAGCCTACAGTGGCAAATAATGAGTAATATCGTAATATGTTCCAGTTGCACATCAGTGTGTTAAAAAGGTAATATAAGAAGTTCTTTGAAATGCCAGCTATTAAGTTCTGAAACATACATCATGCATGAGTAGGGATTAAACTCAAGTTCCCCATTACATAGCTAATTTACACTGCATAAGAATATGAAATTGTAACCTGTTGAACACAAAATTTTTTTCACTGCAAAGTTAGCATCTTTGCTGCGTTTTCCCTTTTTTAACTTTAAAAACTTTCCAGAAAATGGAGCAATAATGGTATAACTACACAGTTGAAATATTTGTAGATATTTTAAGGGACTTTTGGGCAAAACTGGAATATATACTTTTACCATGTTTCAAATGTCTAAGACCAACAGTTTTTAAATTACTAGGATGTTTACTTTGTTCATTAATAAAGCATTTAACAATTCAAATTGTATGCACCTTTTACCTAGTTGGAAAAATAGACATTCCTGTTTTCACATTACAGCAACTGATTGAAGATAAAAGTCTTTTTTATAGATGAGTGATCCACATCTCCATTAATAAGATCACTGGAAAAGATGTTTTATAAAAAAAGTATTTAATTCTGTGTGATTGTAGGATTAACTCATGCAAATAGTAAGTCAGATCCTGTTGGTTCTAATACACTATCTCCTTTAAGGAAGGAAATGTGATGAATGAATGACGTGTAGACTTGAGGAATGACAATTAAAGGGGAAGTAGGATGAAGAGAAAGAACCTACAGATGACGATGAATGTAAACTTATTTTTCTTAAAGGGTAAGCAGTGTGCTCACTTGGTGATATCCAGATCCTAACAAGATTACTTGCTTGTCTGGTTAGGACCAGTAACTTAGACTATTGAGACCAGCGTGAAAATACTTTGAACCAAATGTTAATGCCTGGTAGAGAATTGTGAAGCAGCATCTGGTTCTTATATAGCCTTAAGGATTAATTTTAGAGATCCTCAAGGAATTAAACTTAGGGAATTTCAGAAATGTAGACTGCAAAAGCAGTATACAGGAAAAGATGTGGGTTTTATGAGGGTGTCTGAAAACTAAAATTGAGCGGGATATCATGGTATATAGTTGGACAGTATTGGTCCTTCGTGCTTTGGCCATATTGTGTAATGGAGCTTTTACCAAAGATGTATGAGAAACATAAAGCTACAAAAAAACTAACTATTCAAAGTAAAACTCTTGACAAACATTTTACTTAAAGCAGATGAGCAAAGGTTCTATGCTGTAGGCCCCTGATGGTGCAGAGGGATTTCTGAATTAAAAATGCAGCAAAAGTACAAAATTTTCAGTTTCACTTTAGTAGAAGTATCTCTAGAAATGAAGCTGGCAGACACATCTAAGAACATTTTAGTTGCTTTTAAGATTCCCAAGGCTCCACCATAAATTTAATTCTTAGTGTTTTAAATGATTACATTAAGGTACATACATGGGTAATACAAATATCAATGCTATAATAACATCCTGAAACAAGACAAGCACAAAGGTATAAATGCCTAAACTGGAGGAAACTTGAAACCCTCATGTTAATTCTTAAATGTAGTATTTCTAACTTACGAGAGTTAGATTGATAGGCAGCCATTTTTTTGTGTCTTAAAGTAACTGGGGGCATAGTTAAAATTTTATATATCAAGTGATTGCTGTTGAATGTTGCAGGTGAGATGTGGTTATTTTTAGTTTAATTGAAATGTCAAATAACAAGGGGGTGGAGGGGGGGAAGCAAATATTTGAAATTTGAAAAATCCTAAACCTTTTGGTAAGAAATTGTATTTTTCACTTTTTTTTAAGAATATAAAAGGCTGATACTTGATGTAGTTAAATTGAACCATAACTATTGCTGATCATGGCGCAGGCTAGCCTGCATTGACAGTTATAATCTAAGAATTTTTAAAATGAGATCCTGAAGTTTTTGTTTAATTGCATCAATTTCTGTATTTATGTGAATTTATAAACCAGTAAGTTTTGAATGAGGTTAATCTTGTCTGATATAAGTAAATGAGTCTGTAGACTGATTGCCCCAGACTAAAAAGTACAGTACCTGGAATTGTGTTCTTAATGGTTGTAGTGTTGGTAAAGCACTAATATGCAGAAAATAAAGGAATTACACAGTGCAGTTTCTCACGTTATGTTACTCCTTTGAACTAGATGAAGTGGGACGTGTGTTGGGCCATGTTATTCTCCAAGGACATACGGTATAAAGTTCCTTAATTTGGGAGTCACCTAGCTTTTTTAAGGACAAAAAGAATCAATTTGGTTCTTGATTACAAGCTAGCTCTATAAGGTTTTGCCCTGATTTAGTTCCACCAAAATTAATCTGGTTTTATGATAATTTAGGACACAAAAACAGTTGAAAATAATTTTTAGAAAATAAAGTTCTATAGCAGTTTTTATTATGCTAGTTTTTTTCAAAATGACAACTTAGCATTCTTAGGGTTACAGAATTGTGTCTATAAAGAATTGGCCTGAAGAGTCATCTTAACCCTTAACAACTAACTGACTTGGATTTTAAAGTTGGACTTTGTTGCTTGTCTGATAAGAATGGCAGAATTGTAGCCATTTATAAAGGAGATGAATACCTTGTTGGATAAAAGGTTTTTTAAAACATTTCTTTTCCTGTAAGCATTCCCTCTTATCAGCATTTGATTTTAGAATGTCTTAGTGTGATCTCTAGTGTGACTTAACCCCCACATTAATGTTATTAATATATTTAGTATTGTCATTTACTAATGGTTATCAAGTACCAATTTATCAGTGATAGCAGTAGAAACGATTTTAGTCTTTAGTGGGTTTTTGTATTTCAAATAAGTTTAGAAATATAGTAGCTATAATCCAAATGGTGGTGGCACTTAATAAATTCCCAGTTATTTTCTCAGTACCTTGCGAAGTATATATCAGGGTGATGGTAAGGCAAATCTTGTGTCTTTTTTTTAACAGATAAAAATTGTAAAGCCACATATAGCAGTTAAAAGTAACAAGTCTGACTAGTCCCTGAGAATAATGTATTTGGAGTATAACACTCATTAGAAACAGCTTTTTGCTTTCTTTATATTGAATGGTAAGGACAAAGTAGGAAAGATTACAATATTAGGAAGTTTATTAAAAGAGTGTATTAAGGGATGGAGCCATAGATGAGGCAAAGTAACTTTTCTCTGCTTCGCCAAACTTTTAAAGTTGCCAGACTGGATTAGTGAGTTGAGTGGGCAGGGAGTACTTACAAATGAGGTCAAAGAGGCAGAACAGGTCTGTGGAGGGGTTTAGGAATGACAATTGAAATACGTTATTAAATAAGCTAAAGTAATTGTAAACTTCCAGGGAATTACTATATAAGAGAGAACCTCATGTTGTGGGGCAGTAAGAAAATTGCTTTTAATTTTGAACCTTTTTTTCCCTTTTAAAATGCTTTATGAATAGAAACAATTTTAAAGTGAAAGTATTTGTCAATCTTGTCCTCAAATACCTTTTCACTTGTTAAATTATTTCATTAGGATACTATATATTTCCTCCATAGTATTTGCTTTATAAGTGTGAGGGTAGATTTATTTATTAAGCACCTACTGATAATCCTGACACTGTTCTAGGGACAGAAGAAACATCAGTGAAAAAAAACTATCTGCCTTCATAGAACTTATCTTGGTGGTGGTGGGCAGGGATGGAGGTGAAGAGAGATCAGATGATAAATAAGAATGTTAGGTGATACACTATGTCTTATGTACTATGTTCTATATATGTTCAGAGAAGGCCTCATTGAGAAGGTGACATTTGAACAAATATTTGAAGGAAGAAAAATATCAGTGTAATTGACACAGTAACAAAAAAGATAATATATACTGTGTGAAGCTGGGGTAGGGAAACTATGGCCAAGGGCAAATCTGGCTATAGCCTGTTTTTATAGGAACTGAGCTAAGAATGGTGTTTACATTTTTAAAGGGTTTTTAAAGACTACAAACAACAACAACAACAAAGTGAATATGCAGCAGAGACAGTATTTAGCCTGAAAAGCCTAAATACTATCTAGCCCTCTGAAAAATGTTTGTTGACCCCACATCTAAAGCCCAATTCTTAAAAATAATACCAACAATTTAAAGTAAAATCCATTGTTAAATGAATGAGTCTAATAAAAACTTGAGGATATAATGGCATGTACAATTTACTACTTTTGAATATTTAGGGACCCTTGAGACTTGTTAGTGAGTAGTCTAACTGAGATTTTCTTTTTCCCTAAGTTTAAATATGTGAAATCAGTAGTTTTTCAGTTTCAATTTTAACATTCTGTAAAATTTTATTGAATCATTTCATTAAAACTATTTTCCTTATTTTTATAGCAGTTTCGCTGGTCTTTGGGTACGAGTTAAATGTACTCTGTTATAGTGCCGCCAGATAACCTAGATTAATTTGGAATAGGTTCAGGTAACGTCACTGAACTGCAGCTGTTAGGCAGTTGTACTACTAGAATCAAGTCCTGGGTCCAGTATTTTATATTATGAACCTTTATAAGAGGATGTGTTTTATTGACTTGGAAAGTAGAATGTTGTATGATATTTGGTTTCTTCTAGTATTGTTCCTGTAACTAACATAAACAAGGAAAAATAATTTTCTTCACACATGAATTATTTCTTGCCTAGAGTTTATACTACTTACATACTAGTAGGGTGAGGGAATCTATAACTCTTAAAAGAGAAACTAAACAAAGTAATTTAGCAGGAGTTATGGAAGTTCCTTTTTTTTTTTAACCCTCACCCAAGGATATTTTTTCCATTACTTTTCAGAGAGAGTGGAAGGGAGAGAGAGCGAGAAAGGGAGAGAGAAACATTGATGTGAGAGCGACACATCCATTGGTTGCCTCCTGCACATGCCTCAAGGCTGGGGTTCAAACCTGCAACTGAGGTATGTGCCCTTGACCAGAATCGAACCCAGGACCCCTCAGTCCATGGGCTAAGGCTCTAACCACTAAGCCAAAACTGCTAGGGCTGGAAGTACTTTTTATAGAGGACATTTACAAATGGACTTTAAAAAATCACCCAGCCGGACGTGGCTCAGCAGTTGAGCATCGACCTAGGATCCAGGCAATCAGGGTTCGATTCCCGGTCAGGGCATATGCCCGGGTTGCAGGCTAGGCAGCCGATCAGTGACTCTCTCGTCTATGTTTCTGTCTCTCTTCCCTTCCTTTCCTCTCTCTGAAATCAATAAAGATATGTTTTAAATAAATAAATAAAAAATAAATAAAAATACTTGTAGTTCCCAGGAAGACCTGTGTGAATCTGGTTGTTCCTGACCATAAAAGCTGTTTCCCATTACAGCTGAATGGGCTGGCCTAAAAAGGACATAGTGTATGAGAGGGGAAAAACAAATTTTTATGGGCGTTATAGAAACAGGGATTTGGATCTTTAAAATGTATTCTAATGTGGTAAACCAAAGTGCTTTCTCTATCTTTTTATTTCTAAAAGTTAGTTTTTATTAATAAGCCCTAGGTCAGGNTTATTCTAATGTGGTAAACCAAAGTGCTTTATCTTTTTATTTCTAAAAGTTAGTTTTTATTAATAAGCCCTAGGTCAGGTCTAGGACTAAAGAGATCAAACTGAGAAACATTCTTAAGAATAATTAGAATATTTTTTAAATCATTTGCCATGTGCTGGTCATTGTTCTAAGCATTTTATGCATATTAATTCTCTCTTTAAAAAAAAAAGTTTTTAATTTAGAGAGAGAGGAAGGGAGAGGAATAGAGAAGTAGAAACATCAACAGGCTGCTGCTGCATGCCCTCTACTGAGGATTGAGCCTGCAACCTGGGCATGTGTCCTGACTGGGAATCGATCCAGTGACCTCTCGGTTCATGGGCAAAGGCTCAACCACTGAGCAACACAGGCAGGGCTGCATATGAATTTTCTTAATCCACACAACAACCTTGGGGAAAGAGCTCCCATTTCATATTTGAGAAAACAGCCTCAGAGAGGTATATGTTAATAAGCAGCAGAGCCAGACTTTGGACTCAGGTAGTCTGTACTATACTGTAAGTGTGATTGAGGTAAATCAGTGGTTAATAATATACTTAATTTGTGTGTGTGTTTGCTTACAAAAAACTTACTTTGAGTAATATCCTATAATTTTCTTATTTGATCATCAATAGATCTTTTATTTTTCCAATTAGCAATAATTGCACCTCAGATAAACCTCATTGGCTAGATACTGCCACTGTGCAAACCTATCATCAACAGATTTTGAGTTGTATAATTTGAGACATCTGAATAATGGAGAACATGGCATTAGACTCTGCTTGAGAATTTTTTTCTGTAAAAATCACATGACTACTTGGTAAATTGTGAATTTTACAGATAATTGTGAAAAATAGGAAAAGTTTTCACTGATCTGATTATTTGCATGTTTATTTATATATATGCCCCTTTTGATTTAAGAAAAAGTTTTAGTCCTGGAAGGGCAACTCGGTTAGAACATCCTCCCAGTATGCCAAGGTTGTGGGTTCCATCCTACGTCAGGGCACGCACAAGAATAAAGCAGTGAATGCATAAATAAGTGGAACAACAAACTGATGTTCCTCTCTCTGTCTCTGTCTCCCCTCTCCCCAAATCAATACATTTAAAAACATGTTTAAAAAAGAAAAAAGTTTTACCTATATGAAATGGTTGAAAAGAAAAATAAGTTTTAGAAAATTTAGAGTGCACAATTTATATTGCATCTCTACCTGATAAATTCATAACTACAGGCATTTTAGTATTGTTTAATAAGTTAATTTCTTGCTTTTTAGATCCCATTACAGTTTACTTTTTGTAAGTGAGGTTTACTTAAAGAATGCTATATTCCTTTGTCAACAAGAGCTGAGAGTCAAGGGTAAGCTAGAGTGCTTCAATCATGTACTTTGTGAGTTTAAGCCTGGACTTATGAGTAAAAGTTGATAATTTTGGTAAAATGCAACAGTGCCTTACTTAAAAATTCTATTTGTCAGTAACTTCTATATGAGATAGAAACTTAAGGCTAGGTAAGACGTGGTTAAAAGGTTGAAATTAAGTAAGTACTCTATCAAATACTAGGCAGAAGAGAGAGATACTGTGGGCTGAAGTGGGCTAGCAAAGGCCAGTGAGAATTGAGTTGGACCCACAAAG